TACCCCCTTCCTAGCTCCTCCGGTTTCTGTGTGCACTGCTCTCATGAAACAACTGGATGAGCTTACAGGTGTTTCTATGTCCATTTCTCACCTTTATTACAGAGATTAGGTAGGGGCTGTGTCTTGGTCATTCTGGCAAATCTACACAGATTAGCACAGTGCCTGGCACAGAGAATGCTCTCTAGAGTTCTTGCTGAATGAATATGTTGTGGATCAGTTTCCACTCCCACACAAAATCAAGAAATGACCACAATGTCTGTTTGGTCTGGGCTATGGTGGTGGTGATTCTGTTGGAGAGGGAAGGACCACAGTGGCTGGGGCCAGACACTGGCCTGACAGTTGAGAGGTGGCCTCCAGGGTCTTCCAGCTGTTGGCTGAGAAACACAGGGCAAGTCACTGATTTTCTTTGGGCCACAGTTTTGCCCTCTATAAAATGGAGAAAAAGCTGTACCTACCTCCTAGGGTGGTCATGAAGTTGAAATGACTTAGTAGATGTGTTTAGAAGGTGGCTGAGCACACAGTGGGTGTCAATCAATGGGAACTCTCACTAGCAAAAGTAACGGGATATTCCATTTGCCAAACATCAAGGCTGATGTCTGACAATGTCTTGCTCAAGTACATTGACTCATTTTTCATAAAAAATAAATCTAATTTTCAGCCTCTTCCTAGGATGGGCCCCTCAATGGAATGACTCAAAAATTATTCAGACACAAGGACTGAATCAAGACAACACAATTCAAAGGCTGGGAAGTATTCCTTATCTTTGTGTCTAACCTCAGGGCTGACATGAGCCTGGACTGAGTGAAATGCTGTCCTAAGCCTTGCAGAGCATAGAGTAGAGGGATTTGGTTGCAGGAGAGATGTTTACCACCTACAGAGGAAATCTAGTCCTAGAGCCAGCTCTCAGCTGCTTGCTCAAGTTCCTCCCTCCTCACCCTCTTGTGCATCACATAACACCTTTTATAAAGTCAAAACTGTGAATTATTTCAGGATTATTATATGTGTCATAACTGAACTGAACTGCAGGTTCCTAAATATGTATTTAAATAGGGACATCACTGAATATTTATGAATTTTAAGAGTCTCATGTATTTAGTTCATAAAAACTGTGAAGCAATTTGGAGAGATTTTTTTTTTCCCCCTTGAAATTGAAAGATTCCTTTAAGGAGTCCAGGATATGGGAGAACTTTCAATGCCATCCCTAGTGCAGACAGGGGTCCCTTTCTCAATACAATGGACCTTCAATGGCTAGGCACGGTGGCTCACGCCTGTCATCCCAGCACTTTGGGAGGCTGAGGCAGGTGAATCACCTAAGGTCAGGAGTTTGAGACCAGCGTGGCCAACATGGTGAAACCCCATGTCTGCTAAAAAAAAATACAAAAATTACCTGGGCATGATGGCATGTGCCTGTAGTCTCAGCTACTTGAAAGGCTGAGACAGGAGAATCTCTTGAACCCGGAGGCAGAGGTTGCAGTGAGCCAAGATGGTACCACTGCACTCCAGCCTGGGCTGTAGAGGAAGACTCTATCTCAAAACAAAACAAAATAAAACAAAACAAAACAATGGATCTCCAAAATATCAGGGAGCCATCAGGGATATCTGATGTTGCCGCTTGTGGAACAGATCTTAGCATCCTGTTTAGGGATGTTTTCTAGCTCACAGTGAGGGAATTTACCATAATTAAACATAAAGTAGGGTTCCTGCATGTTCCTTATGTGTGTGTGTGTGTGGACATAGCTATTCCCTGTCCTGGCAAGGGGTGTCAACTAGAAATGGAACATTTCTGTCATAAATAACAAAGTAGAGATGGCAGGAGGAAGAATGAGGACTCTGGAGACAAACTGATGTGTTGGCTGGGGAAAACGTGGGTAAGTGCTTTGGTTTCTGAGTCTGTTTCTGCGTTTATCAAAATATAGAGAAGCTACCTCCCTAGGAGAATTAAGTAAGACCATGGTCAGAGCACCTGCCTCGACCTCTGCTATTCAGGTGGCCTTTGTTCGTCATTCCATCGCTCCTCCTCAAAGGTTTTCTTTGTGGTTTTAACATTCCCTCCCTCATTACTGTCTTCTCTGGCCCCTGGGGCATCAGGCACGGTAACAGAACCACCCACGTGGGCATTTTCAACTGGTGGTGGTGGTACAGCTTGGGGGAGAAGGGATGGGGACAGGGGGCCTCAGGGGCCTCTGGAGAACTGCCACCCCTAGACAACCTCTCACTTAGCCATGGGGCCCTGGAAGTGCCATCTGAGCTTCCCTCGGGATACAGAGACAATGAGCATCTTTATATTCAAATTCAGCAAACACTTGTTCAGAATAGCTTTGCTTGTTACAGAAAATCACTTGAGTTTGCTTTCAGTTTGCCTCCTCTTATCCTTCACCAAACCCAAACTCTACCTTCTGGCTATGCCGAGCCTCTTTTGGTTTCTCAATGGTGCCATTCCTTTTCTTGTCTCTGGACCTCGGCTTGTGACGCTTCTTCCACTTGGACCACCCTTTTCCTTGTTTGTGCCCTTGGCTAACTCCTTCTCAGCCCGTGAGTTGGATGTCCTTTCCTCCAAGAAGCTCCCTAACCCCCCACTGGGGTGTTCCTCCTCTGAGCCCCCACATGGAGCCATACCCTTCCCCATCGTAACACGTATCACACTGATGAGTAAAGGAAGGTGCAAGTTCCTCTCTCCTTAGCCTGCCTGAACTCTGTGTGAATGGGGACTGTGTTGTCTGTCTCTCTCATAGCACTGTTTCTAGCACCTGGAGTAGCAGTTGGCTCACAGTAGGTGCTCAGAAGGTACTGTTGAATAGAACTGAACACTATTGTCTTCTCTGGGGTGGGAAGAAAAAGCAACCATGTAGACATGTGTCACGGATGGGAAAAGATCAAGGAGAGAGGATGGGAGGCTGGACGCACTGGCTCATACCTAATCCCAGCACTTTGGGAGGCCAAGGTGGGTGGATCACCTAAGGTCAGGAGTTTGAGACCAACCTGGCCAACATGGCGAAATCCCGTCTCTACTGAAAATACAAAAATTAGCCGGGCGGGGTGGTGCATGCCTGTAATCCCAGCTACTCGGGAGGCTGGGGCAGGAGATTTGCTTGAACCTGGGAGGTAGAGGATGCAATGAGCCAAGATTGTGCCACTGGACTCCAGCCTGGGTGACAGAGTGAGACTCCAAAAAAGATGCGGCAAGCGAAGAGCTTTCATGTGGACAAAAAAAGAAAAAAGAAAAAAAAAGTCACTCCTTTATCTTAATGAGGGAGGTGTGGGCTAGACAGGTAGGGTCTTCTAAGAAGATGAGAAAATGGCCAGAGGTAGCCAGGTAGAGGTGGGAGGTTGCTGCCATTGGTGACTTCAGTGCACTTCTATCCCTCTCCTTCCACTGGTGCCCTCCCCTTTGGGCTGCGCAGGCACCACTGACACCTGGGCATTTCCTCCTGCAAGTGGGAGGAAAAAGGAGAGAGACTTAAAGTGCTCCTTTAACAGAGGATGGAACTGGCTAAAACAAGGTTTCTAGAGAATTTCATTGATTTGCCAGCTGCCTCATTTTATTACTGAATCAATGAATTAATGAGCAACATGTTCGGCCACAGTTGTCCAAGTTCATTAAGAGGGAGGTGTGGTCACTTCCAGGCTGCCTTTGGGACCGTGTCAATCAGTCTGGAGGTTCTTACCTTTATTTTCTCCTTTGTAAAGATAACTTGGGAGGCACATTCCGTGGACTTTTCAGTGACCTCTGGAGAAGCCGACCTGGGTAAACTGCATCTTCCTCTTTGAAATATTTCCTTTCCCTCCCACAGCCCTCCCGCTGCCACCCTGCTGCCACTGCCCCTGTTTCTCAGCTCGCCACCGAGCTGCTGTGTTTCAGGCCTCGATTTGCACTGACCTCTCAGGAAGCCGAACACCAAGGGCTTCAGTGGCATGTCCCATTATGGGGATGACACGGCCATTAGTAACCATGGAAACCGCCCTTCCCCCCCAGCTTGTGTGGCTCTACAGGCATAATTTACACCCGGCTCTTCCAGATTTGAAGGGGTTATGGGGACCCAAGCACAGTGGCACCGTCCTTTAGCCCTGCCAAGGCAAATATCAAGCCCTTTCAAAACCTTTTCAGATGAAAATAAATAAGCTCAAGTCTTTGATTCAGTAAACATGGACACATATTCTTAAAAAATCCAATAAGAAAAGGAAAAATAAGAGAAAAAGAAAACCTCTTCATGTTTGTTTGTCTTTTTACAGCCACAAATGCAAAACACACAGCGGGAGAATGTGTTTTCTAATAGTCACATCTAAACTTCACAATGGCCAAGGCCTGAAGGCTGGCGCCCAAAAAGGCCACAGCCAGTGGTGGTCACTCCTGGGCACAGCCTTACAAATGAGGACATAGGTTCCATCAGCCCCCATTTTTCTTTTTTTTTTTCAAAGAACCTTTACGAATAACTCATCAGCTGGGCTCAGTGGCTCATGCCTGCGATCCCAGCACTTTGGGAGGCAGAGGCAAAGGGATTACTTGAGTCCAGGAGTTTGAGACCAGCCTGGGCAACAGAGTAAGACCCTGTCTTTACCAAAAAATTAAAATATTAGTTGGGTGTGGTGGCAGGTGCCTGAAGTCCCAGCTACTTGAGAAGCTGAGGTGGGAGGATTGCTTGAGCCTGCAATGACCCATGATAGAGCCACTGTATTGCAGCCTGGGTGGCAGAGCAAGACTCTGTCACTAAAAACAAAACAAAACAAAACACAAAACCAAACCCTTCCACTACAAGAACAAGTGTGTGAGGTAATGCATAGGTGAGTCAGTTTGACTGAGCCATCCCACTAGGTAAACACATTTCAAAACATCATGCTGTACATGATCAATATACACCATTCTTATTTGTTAATTACCAGAGAAAAAAAAAGCCATCATCTGTGTCAACATCTCTCTACCCTACAGCCCCTGTTAATTCTGGCAATGAAAAGAAAGCAAGCTGCATTCTCCCCTGCTGCCTTGGGTGAGCAGGTGGAATTACCTGTCTAGGCTTGGCTGGCCTCTGCAGGGACGCAGTCGGAGTCAGATTCGGCCAGTTCCGCCACGCCTTCCGGGGCAGCCTGACTCCAGCTATCTGATCTATCTGAGTTGGCATCCTCCTCCCCGACTGTCACCTCCACGTAATCCACAACACTTGACTCCTCGTTCTCGTCGCTGCCCTGGCCGTCCCGGCTGCTGCCCTCTGACCGGTCTGAGGTGGCCTCTGAGGGCTTCGCTGGCAAACCGTCTTTTGCTGGCTCACTGCCTACTTTTACCCTGGGCACCAACTTCTCCAAGTCCTCTTCGCAGAGCTTTTTGGGGTCCTTGTAATATTGCGGAACCACATCACTCCCATTCTTTGGGCTCTCGGCGATGGGTTTTGTTGTTTTCCTTGCCGCGGCATCATAGCCGTGATCATCAGCCACGGGCTGGTGCTGGTACTGCTCCATCCACTTCACCGTTCCCATTTTCAGCAAGCATCTGTTCTCCTTGAACCAACGCACAATCTCAGTCCGGACCAGGCCTGTCTTGGCCGCTAACTGGTCGTACTCCTGGGGAGTAGGCCACTGGGTTCTTGCAAATGTGCTCCTCAGGAGATGAACCTGTTCTTGATTTTTTGCAATTGCTGGCGAAGCGCTGGGCAGAGAACTGGTTAACTGGGCACCGGAGAGCTGGTCAAGTCGAGGCAGGGCACCGTTGGGGGCACCCACATCTTGGCCTTTTTTGCCAGACCCCATGGAATCCAAGACAGCTTGTTCCATGCTGTCTCGAAGCTTCCGCCTCTCGGAGAACCAGGAGTCGATCTCTCTCCTGCTCAGCTTGGTCTCCACCCTTAGCCGATCCAGTTCTGCTTGGGTAGGAAAAGAACTTTTCAAAAAGCTGTCTTCCAAGATTTTAACCTGACCCTGTGTTTTCTCTTTGAATTTCTGGGGGGCAAAGTCTGGGTACGGATGGTACGTGCGACCGTGTCGGGAGGCTGCGATGGCCAACTGGTCTTTGGCAAGGGATTCGCTGGTGATGTGGACGATGCCCCTTTGACACCGATATCGGTGGTCACTGAACCACTTCTTGATCTCGCTCCTGGCAAGGCCGGTCACCTCAATGAGCCGGTAAACCTCAGCATCATCAGGGAACTGGCTCTGGAGAAAGCTGGCCTTGAGATGTGCTATCTGCTCCTTTGTCTTCTTGCGGTCACTGGCTGGAGTGAGCGGGGGGTTGGCCACCTTGGGTGGGGGCTCTGGCACCTGAGCGATGTGTGGACGCTTGGGTTCCGGGGCAGCTTGGGGAGTCACCAAGGGTCTCTTCTGGCCGTGGTTGGTGACTCCTGCCACGGCAAGCGTGATGGGGGAGCAAGAGACGGTTGTTGACCCGCTGGTCACCTGAGTCAGCACCAGGCTAGTCTGGCCGAGGATCTGGCAAGGTAGAGCCGTCTGGAGGATGGGCTGCGTTACCTTTGTGGGGGCCAACTGGGCGGGCAGCACAGTGATAGTCGGAGGTACTGACTGGATGGTGCCATTGAACATCTTCTTCCGGGCCTCCTCCACCTCTTCTGGGGACCAGCTGATGCCATGCTTTAAGCGCTGGGTGGCAAACCAGATTCTGATGTGCTCCTCTGGGTGTTTGGAGGCAGCTGTCAGCCAGGACAACTCCGCCTGGGTGGGATAAGGAAACTTGTTGAAGGAGTTGATCATCGTGGCATTTGTATCCAGGGCAGAGTTGTATTTGGTAGTATTTAGTGGGACGGGGACCTTGGGCACAAGGTTGATATTTGGTGGCAGCTGTACAGAAGGCATGACGTGTCCTAATGTGTCTTGGAGGAGCTCCACGCTTCCGAGTCTCGAGAGGATCTCAGCTGTGTCTGTCACCAGGCGGGCGGTCCCTTCCACATGGTTTTCGGGTGTCATCTCCTCGGGCTTCTTGGGCACCTTCTTGGCATCCACTTTCGGTTTCCCGGGCTTCATGATGGGAGTTTTACTCACCGAGATCCCAGGATCACCGTCACCAGTTCCAGGGCCGCTGGTGGTGATGGACACGACATGGTTGGTGGCTTCAATGGACTGTTCCAAGACAGTCTGATTATTGCGTTTAATTAACTTCAGTTTGAAGTTGGCCTCCCCAGGATGGAACTTGGAGTTGTGGTCAGACAGGGAGTCGTACTTTTTGGTTGTGAAGTTACATTCTGCACACACGTAGAGGGGGTTGAGAATCACGTTGGGATGCTGCATGTCGACATGCTCTGTGAACTCGTTCAGGTTTTGCGTGGAGTAGGGGCAGTATTTGCACTCGTAACCACCTTGGAGTTTTTTGGACTGGCTCTCCCCTGTAGATTTCACCTCTATCACTTCATTTTCTTTGGAAGAGTTTTCAAGTTCTGCTGCCCAACTGTCCTTGGCCACGTCAGGCTGTGGTGTGCTGATTCCTTTTTCTTTGGCCCTGTCTACCTCCTCGGGCACATCTTGTTCTACTACTTGTGATGTCCGAACCATGCATGGAGTTGTAGATTTCCGTTTGCTAGCCATGCTGCCTGTCTGGGTGCAACGGCTTATTTTTGGAGGGGAGTGGAGGGGGTCAGTGAGATTCTTGGAACAAATAAGATGAAAGGCTTTTGGCTTTATGCCCCCTCAAATGGCTTTGGCTTTCCTTGGATGCTGAAGTCTACTGTTTGAGTTTTCAGAATGATTTCAGCACAGAAAATTGCAATGGCACCAAACACTAAACATATCAGGAAACATTGTATCTGTGGACAAGAACAAAGACAGGTTCAGTGTCTCTTTACAATGCAAAAGGAACTGGCACTTCTTTATGAGTGGCTCCCATGACCCATCCCAACCGGCACCCAAATCGAACACCTGTGTATGCCCAGAAGGTGTGAAAGTATTTACAAACATGAAAGGTCACGTTATTCTTCTCTTCCTTTGTTTGGGAAGGAGGTGAACACAGGGCCAACCCAAGCAAACACGGGTGAGGGTCACCATTTCATGTTTAGAGACAAAGGAATACAGGAAAGGTAGACAGGTACTAAAATCTTCTGAAGTGGTGACAGGAAATGCTGCAGATGGTGGTCCTGTAAGCTGCTTTTATGTATGGTACCTCGGAAGCAAGATGATTCCCCGGGGCTGGCAAGTGAAATTTATTCAGGTGCTAGGAAACAGATATGAACATTTTATGCGTCATAAAAGCAAAATCGCAAAAGAAAATCCAGAAAATACAGAAAAGCGTTAAAAAAGCAATCGCCCCCCTGCCAATATTGTAGCTTTATAGTTCAATTCACTTGAACAGTTCCCTGTTTCCATAAATAGTGAGCAAAATAATGATTTTAAAAATCATTAAAATTTTTTTTTCTACTTTAGGTTCTGGGATACATGTGCAGAACGTGCATGTTTGTTACATAGGTATACACGTGCCATGGTGGTTTGCGACACCCATCAACCTGTCATCTAGGTTTTAAGCCCCGCATGCATTAGATATTTGTCCCAACACTCTCCCTCGCCTTGACCCTCATCCCCCGACAGGCCCCATTGTGTGTTGCTCCCCTCCTTGTGTTGATGTGTTCTCACTGTTCAACTCCCACTTATGAGTGAGAACATGCAGTGTTCGGTTTTCTGTTCCTGTGTGAGTTTGCCGAGAATGATGGCTTCCAGCTTCATCCACGTCCCTGCAAAGGACATGAACTCATCCTTTTTTTTTATAGCCATTGGACTTTTGTTGGACATTTATTTCCAGTTCTTGGCTCTTATCAACAAAGCTGCAGTGAATATCCTTAATCCTTATTTCTGATAACTACCTTTGGATGGATGCCTAGAAGTGGTTCTCTTGACCCATATGGCAGAATTTTGGCCTCAATTGGCCTTTCCTTGGTAGTGTAGGAGAGGGCTTGACCACAATCCAGCCTATGTAAAATGCTAATGTTAAAAAGCCTTGCTGATTAGATAGGGAAAGACAGTTTTCTGGATTTTTGTTTGTTTCTGAGACGGGGTCCGGCTCTGTTGCCCAGGCTGGAGTGCAGTGGCACAATTCTAGCTCACAGCAAACTCCGTCTCCTCCACCTCCAGCAATCCTCCTGCCTCAGCCTCCCAAGTAGCTGGAACTACAGGCACACACCACCATGCCCAGTTAATCATTTTATTTTTATTTTTAGTAGAGATGGGGTTTTTCCATGTTGTCCAGGCTGGTCTCCAACATCTGGGCTCAAGCTATCCACCTGCCTCTGCCTCCCAAAGTACTGGGATTATAGGCGTGAGCCTTGCCTGGCCAAGAAAATTGTTTTAATATGCTTTTATGCTTTTCTTGATTGACATTAAGGTTGAACTGTTTTCAAAGATTTGTTCACTATTTATATTCTTTTGTGAATTGTCTGCTTATGTCATTTTCATATTTTGGTGTTTAGTCGTTTTTATTACGAATTTGCAAGAATTCTCTGTACATAAATAATACTAATGCTTTACTATGTTTATCGCAAAACTTTTCCCAGTCTATAATTTACCATTCTTTTTTTTTTTGAGATGGAGTTTCACTCTTGTTGCCCAGACTGGAGTGCAATGGCGCAATCTCAGCTCACCGTAATCTCTGCCTCCCAGGTTCAAACAGTTCTCCGCCTCAGTCTCCCAAGTAGCTGGGATTACAGGCATGTGCCACCACGCCTGGCTAATTTTGTATTTTTAGTAGAGACGGGGTTTCTCCATGTTGGTCAGGCTGGTCTCCAACTCACGATCTCAGGTGATCTGCCTGCCTTGGCCTCCCAAAGTGCTGGGATTACAGATATGAGCCACCGCACCCGGCCCTATCATTTACCTTTTAGGTGTGCATATTATGTATATTTTTAATGTTTAATGTATTAACATTTTAATTTTTAGTTAATAAATTTACCTGTTTCTCTTGTAGCTTGTTTTATTGTGATTTTAGATTTGGAAAGTGATTCCCTGTCTTGATGGCTGAAATATATTAATCTACATTTTCTTAAAACTGTTTTAACTATATTTTTTGTATTTAACTTATCTGGTATTGAATTTATCTTGGGTTAAGCTGTAAGACACAATTCTAACCATTTTTCTTGAGAGTTACCAACCATCTCAGCAGCATGTATTATTACTGCCTTTCTAACTAATTTCTGAGAAACCTCCTTTATCATACACAAACTTTATATCTACTAGGGTTGGTTTTGGGTTATCTAATCTGTGTATTGATCTAGTTATTGAGTACTGTACTTACACCTTGCTTCTAAAAGCATTTTTGTATGTTTTGAGTACATTTTTACATCTAGTAGAATTCCTCCTCATTACTCTTTCTTTTTGCAAAACAGCTCTTGGTTATTTTGATAATCTAGTCTCATGAGTCAATATCACCTGCGAAATAAAATTAGATTAGAATTTTGATTGGAACTGCATTAAACAAATGATGATTTGGAAGCACAGGAACAATTTGCTTATTAGGTTAACAGAACCCAGAACCCAGGCTGGAGAGCTGAAGGGCTAAAGGAGGTGGGAGACGTGTTTTGAAGCAAAGATCTCTGACCTCCAGGGAAGGAAGGAAAGGGAAGGGAAGGCAGGAGATGGCATATCATCTTTGGCTCCTGCCATGGGCCTGGATTTGAATCCCATTGAAGAGAGGGCATAAAAGCGATTTTCACAAACAATTCTGAAAGCCTGGGTCCACGCCCACCTGCTTAGGGGCTCAGGTGACGCACTTGGGCAGGGCTGGGGAGAGCAGCACCCCCTCCTCGTGAACCCAGAAACAGGCCCCTCTAAGATGAAAGCACTGGCACTTGTAGGCTGGTCAAATTTATCAGCAGTGGCATGCAGGCCCCTCAGGCAGTGGTGAGGAGAGAACAGGGGCCAACCACAGAAGAGGGCAGCCGTTTCTTTTTATTGACCACACCCAAACTGCCACCTCCAGCCTCCATCTGCCACGATCTTCAGACTCTTGATCTCACCTCTCAAAACCTGCCACGCCTTCAGAGTTCATTTCCAGCAATGGCACCACCAAGACCTGGTAAGTTCCAGCCGCTGCTCCCTCTCCCGCTGCTCTTCACGCTCTAGTGGCTCTGTCAGGACCTCACCCCTCACCAGGTCCTCTTCCAGAACATCCCACCCCAAGAGCAGCTAGGTTTTCAGGTCTTCATTGAAAAGTCACCCTCTCACAGAGAGGCTTTTGCTGTCAGCTGCTTCTCCGTAAACCAATGCCTCCCCAACACTCTCATTTCCTCACCCTGCGTGGCTTTCTTCACGGCACTTGTCAACAGCTGACATCACACTTCAATGTTTTGTGGTCAAAAGAGGAGCAGGTGTCTGTCTACTTGTTGATCGTTTGTATCTCCCTCCAGAACCATGCTGCCCAATATGATAGCCACTAGCCACATGTGGCCTTTGAGTTTAATTAAAATGAAATAAGATGAAAAATTTAGTACCACAGTCATACTAGCCACATTCCCAGTGTTCAAGAAGCAAATGTGGCTGTTGGCTATTGTCTGACAAAGCGAAGGACATTTGTATCATTGGGCATAGTCCTGCTGGACAGCACCGTTCAAGAGCAGAAACTACATCAAGGCAGAAAGGGTTCTATTTATTTATTTATCTTGAGATGAAGCCTTGTTCTATCGCCCATGCTGGAGTACAGTGGCGCGATCTTGGCTGACTGCTACCTCCACCTCCCGGATTCAAGCACTTCTCCTGCCTCAGCCTCCCAAGTAGCTGGGACTACAGGCACAAGCCACCATGCCTAATTTTTTTTTTTTTCTTTTTGCAAAGACAGGGTTTCGCCCTTTTGCCCAGGCTGGTCTTGAACTCCTGGGCTCAAGCAATACATCTGCCTCCGCCTCCCAAAGTGCTAGGAATACAGATGTGAGCCACTGTACCTGGCATTACAAATTAAATTAACTGCAGGGAGGCTATTGCTTGGCACTGCAGCTCAGTGATGAGGTATGCTAAAATCTGTGAATGCTCAGTAGTGTGTGTATGTGCACACATGTGAACATGTATGTTGGGGTCAATGAATGCGGGAACTCTAAGGGGAAGGAGATGCTACAGTTTTGTGGGGAGTACTGTTGACACAGCAGAATGTGGTTATGCAGCTATGAACATCTGGCCAAAGGGCTTGGGGCATTTGAGTTAAATTTTTCAAAAGAAAGGGGGAAAGAGACTTTCCTTCTGCAGAGAAAAAGACATCAGGCAGGAGTAGACTCAGAGGAGGAAAGACCTTTCTTACAGAAACTCCACATAACCCATGGTACTTAAATCTGCCGACAAGCGAGCCCCCAAAATGAGGTGAATTGTGGTAAAATGTCCTGGAAACTTCTCAGTGTTCCAGAAACTGTGGTTGAAAAGAAAAGCATCGTCTAAAACTCATTCAGCAACCAGGAATCCAAACCAAAGCAGTTGAAAAAGAAGAAAAGAGGAAAGAAGAAAATAGAGAAGGAGAGCTGAGAAAACACAGAGCCTTTTGAGAATCTATTTCTTAGGGTTCTCTTGGTGGAGCTGCAAGAAACACAGACTTTGGAGGGATGATCCTGGCACCAGAGCCTGGGTGTCTGAAGGACAGCAGGATGTTGGCATCTGTCATTTTGAAAACCTGCGAGATACCAGCAAGGTGAGGACCAGCACCATGAGGCCTTGCTGGCATGAAAGGCTAAAGTGTTTTGAGCAAAGTCTTCAGGTATGATGCCTGGGTTAAATTTGGCAAAAATGAAAAATAAGTGAATGAATGAATACATAAAATGCAAGTTAAGAATAAACTCTAGGCTGG